AGTAGGCGTTTGAATTCTGACTCTGGTAGTGGAAGTAGATCAGAATGTTGACAAATGATTTCAATGGTTTCATTGATTGGGATCATTGTGAACAAGGAGGTTGCATCAAATGAGACCATGAACTTATTTAAAACGTTCATATGATTCACGCTTTCGGCGAAATGAAATGAGTCTTTTATGGTATGCACGGCTAGACGTCGGCGAATGGGTTCCAACTTCTCCGCAAGCCAACGGGCAACCTTATGTTGAGGAGAGTTGATCATCGAAAGTATTGGTCTTAGAGGGACTTCTTTCTTGTGTATCTTTGGAAGGCCATACATATATGGCAAGCGGGACCCTCTGGGCTTTAATTCATTGTACGTGTTGTTGTCAATCAAATTCTTTTTTAGAAGATCTCTCAGTACATTGGTGATGCGTTTTTCAGTTGCATCTGTCTTGTCTTTCTGGCAGTCGTCGACTTTAAACCTCAATGGGTCATTCAGCAGAGTTTTCATTCTTGCGATGTAGTCATCTTTATCCATCAGTACCACTCCTGAGCCTTTGTCAGGTCGCAGTATGACGATTTTGTCATTATTTCTGAGAGATTTCAATGCCTTTCGATGTTCTTCAGAGAGGAATTTGGAATATGATGTTGGTGAAATGAGATATTGATTTGCAACGTCGACCAACTTAGATTTGAACCAGCTCTTCCTGTCCTCATCAACTGGAGTAAGGTCATTCAGCTGATAGAATAGGTTTTCGAATTGAGCTGCGACATCGGTTCTGTTGATAAAGTTATTCCACAGTCATGCCTCCTACCTACTCAGCCTATTCAACAAAGCACATACAAATATTGTATTTACCATGGAACATGAAAATGACGGGAAGTTCCATTTCCTTGACATCGCCATGCAACGCCTAGAAGATGGTAATCTCCAGAGGTCAATTTACCGAAAACCTACATGGAATGGACAATACTTACATTTTAATAGCTTTTGTCCAAATAGCTATAAACGAGCACTAGTCAAGACTCTATACTATAGAGCAAGGAGAATATGCTCTACAGAGAAACTAGAGGAAGAATTTATGTTCCTCGAAAAGGTGCTGAAAAATAACGGTTACCCTCAAAGATTCATAAACAAATATGGAAGATGTGAAGACTCAAATACCAAACAAATCACAGTTGAAAAAAAGCCTGTCTTCATTCAACTAGATTTTAAAGGTGAAAACATTGCAGAAATGGTCAACAGAAGACTGAGAACATCACTAGCCAGAGCCTATCCTGCAGCTAAGTTGGTTCCCGTCCATCGAACAACATGCTCTTTGGTGCAGTCAAAAGTCGATAGATACCCTTCTCATGTTAACTCCAACTGTGTATACAAATTTACGTGTATCTGCGGGAGCAGTTACATTGGGAGAACAGAAAGAAGGGCACACCTCCGATTTTCTGAACATGTGCCAAGAAGCCTACGTCTCAAGGGAACAAACTCTTACAGCAGCGCTATCACTAGACATCTTCTCGACACGGGTCATGAGGTAGAAATCGAGAAATCCTTTAAAATTATCAATAGACAAAGGAGTTCCATTCTCCTCAAGTTTGCCGAAGCAATCTCTATCAAACGCTTGAAACCAGATTTATGTGTTCAGAAAGAAGCAGTTATCAATCTCTCTTTGCCCTGGTAACTGAATGTCTTTATTCTCTCATCTGATTACGTAATCTTTGTCTTTAACCTCACCCCCTTTTATATTCTGTAATTTTGCTTGTCTCTTGTTTCTATGATTTGAGTTGAACTCAGTACATTGTTACCTAATTTCTTAGTCACTCTGTATCTAACTCATATTTCGTCTTTATTACGTAACTCCTTTACCATTTTATGCATACATTCTATTTTGTTTAAACTTGAACTGCATGTGTAAAAACTATATAAGCGCAATTTTCTGAGCACTGTTCACTTACTGTGGAACTTTTTGTCAACTGGCAACATGTAAAAATTTGCAAGTATGTTAAAACTTTTCTGTACGCAAACCTCATTATGTATTTAGGCTGTAAGCAGCTGATGAGAAGCCTACGAAATAAATGATGGTACCATATTATTCTGCACAAACCACTTTCGTTCTTGCTTTATTCAAATTCATCAAGGGGAATAAATGCATGAAGTTTCTCAAAAATCGCCTCCCCGCAGAATCTTTCAAGTCACTGGATCGTTTGGTGACAATTCGTTGCAGAATATCCAGAGAAGTGACTCGAATAAAATTTTACGAGGAATGCTTGCAGTCGCACTGCTTTCCTCGCCATCTCATGAAGTCACTACGTACTTGCAAATTACCGCCCTCCCTCAGAAACCTTCGACGTATAACGAAATCGCATATTGAATCAACAGAGTCTCTGATTTCAAAATTGAGAACTGAAGCCCGATCCTTTGATGCTGTCGTCAATAATTTAAATTTAGTATGCCGAATCAAATTCATCAATTTCATTCAAGAGCTGCAACAGAAAACATGTGCAGATTTCTATAAAACTCTGTCGAAATCCCTGACGAAGGAGAAACTATGTGACGTCTTCCCAGAAAATCCTGAGGAGTTTGTGTATAATCTGTCGAGTTTGAATTTAAGCCGCATTGAAATGGAAGCACTTTCCCTCGGATTTAACTTCCATATCCCGAATAACTTTATCAACAGAACCGATGTCGCAGCTCAATTCGAAAACCTATTCTATCAGCTGAATGACCTTACTCCAGTTGATGAGGACAGGAAGAGCTGGTTCAAATCTAAGTTGGTCGACGTTGCAAATCAATATCTCATTTCACCAACATCATATTCCAAATTCCTCTCTGAAGAACATCGAAAGGCATTGAAATCTCTCAGAAATAATGACAAAATCGTCATACTGCGACCTGACAAAGGCTCAGGAGTGGTACTGATGGATAAAGATGACTACATCGCAAGAATGAAAACTCTGCTGAATGACCCATTGAGGTTTAAAGTCGACGACTGCCAGAAAGACAAGACAGATGCAACTGAAAAACGCATCACCAATGTACTGAGAGATCTTCTAAAAAAGAATTTGATTGACAACAACACGTACAATGAATTAAAGCCCAGAGGGTCCCGCTTGCCATATATGTATGGCCTTCCAAAGATACACAAGAAAGAAGTCCCTCTAAGACCAATACTTTCGATGATCAACTCTCCTCAACATAAGGTTGCCCGTTGGCTTGCGGAGAAGTTGGAACCCATTCGCCGACGTCTATCCGTGCATACCATAAAAGACTCATTTCATTTCGCCGAAAGCGTGAATCATATGAACGTTTTAAATAAGTTCATGGTCTCATTTGATGCAACATCCTTGTTCACAATGATCCCAATCAATGAAACCATTGAAATCATTTGTCAACATTCCGATCTACTTCCACTACCAGAGTCAGAATTCAAACGCCTACTGCTAATGTGTACCATGGATGTACAATTCCAGTTTGATAACACTCTTTACCGACAAATAGATGGCGTAGCCATGGGCAGTCCACTTAGCCCTGTTCTAGCAGATATCTTCATGTCAAACCTTGAGAAAACAAAGTTGAAGCATGCAATCGATCAAACAACTTCCTATTGTCGATATGTCGATGACACATTTGTAGTATGCAAAAACGACAGTCATGCCTCCTACCTACTCAGCCTATTCAACAAAGCACATACAAATATTGTATTTACCATGGAACATGAAAATGACGGGAAGTTCCATTTCCTTGACATCGCCATGCAACGCCTAGAAGATGGTAATCTCCAGAGGTCAATTTACCGAAAACCTACATGGAATGGACAATACTTACATTTTAATAGCTTTTGTCCAAATAGCTATAAACGAGCACTAGTCAAGACTCTGTACTATAGAGCAAGGAGAATATGCTCTACAGAGAAACTAGAGGAAGAATTTATGTTCCTCGAAAAGGTGCTGAAAAATAACGGTTACCCTCAAAGATTCATAAACAAATATGGAAGATGTGAAGACTCAAATACCAAACAAATCACAGTTGAAAAAAAGCCTGTCTTCATTCAACTAGATTTTAAAGGTGAAAACATTGCAGAAATGGTCAACAGAAGACTGAGAACATCACTAGCCAGAGCCTATCCTGCAGCTAAGTTGGTTCCCGTCCATCGAACAACATGCTCTTTGGTGCAGTCAAAAGTCGATAGATACCCTTCTCATGTTAACTCCAACTGTGTATACAAATTTACGTGTATCTGCGGGAGCAGTTACATTGGGAGAACAGAAAGAAGGGCACACCTCCGATTTTCTGAACATGTGCCAAGAAGCCTACGTCTCAAGGGAACAAACTCTTACAACAGCGCTATCACTAGACATCTTCTCGACACGGGTCATGAGGTAGAAATCGAGAAATCCTTTAAAATTATCAATAGACAAAGGAGTTCCACTCTCCTCAAGTTTGCCGAAGCAATCTCTATCAAACGCTTGAAACCAGATTTATGTGTTCAGAAAGAAGCAGTTATCAATCTCTCTTTGCCCTGGTAACTGAATGTCTTTATTCTCTCATCTGATTACGTAATCTTTGTCTTTAACCTCACCCCCTTTTATATTCTGTAATTTTGCTTGTCTCTTGTTTCTATGATTTGAGTTGAACTCAGTACATTGTTACCTAATTTCTTAGTCACTCTGTATCTAACTCATATTTCGTCTTTATTACGTAACTCCTTTACCATTTTATGCATACATCTATTTTGTTTAAACTTGAACTGCATGTGTAAAAACTATATAAGCGCAATTTTCTGAGCACTGTTCACTTACTGTGGAACTTTTTGTCAACTGGCAACATGTAAAAATTTGCAAGTATGTTAAAACTTTTCTATACGCAAACCTCATTATGTATTTAGGCTGTAAGCAGCTGATGAGAAGCCTACGAAATAAATGATGGTACCATATTATTCTGCACAAACCACTTTCGTTCTTGCTTTATTCAAACTCAACAAATCAATAAGTCAATAAATCAAATTCAAATACAACAAACCTCAATTCCTTCACAAATTTGTAATTGATGAGTAAGTTTTGCATTCTCCTGGAGTAAACTCTCTCTCTTTCAACTAATAATTTATTTACTCTATCTTGATTGAAGTATTTTTTCTTCATTTCCGCCATGTATTCATTCTGTAATGAAAGGATCATATATATATATATATATATATATATATACACATAAAGTTCAAACTGATGAGAAAAAAGCTGTAAACATTGAAGTTGAAAAAAATTTACAGCGTTATATAGTGTAAACCACGATAGATAACAACACTACATTCATACAATAAGTGAGCATATATCATCCAAGTAGCACTGAGAACTTCAGTCAAATCACAGGCCTTATTGTGTTCAATAACATATATACTGAAATTATCATTTGTGACACAGTATCAACTATATATCTGATGGTAGACTGGCTAACAAGAAGACAAGATGACAGTATTAAGCGGGGGGAGGGAGGTATTTCCTGGAAGAAGTTATGCGTTGGCCAATGCGCGCGCACACACACACACATACATACCTTTCAGATCATTTGTTCCTCTTACATGCAAACAAAATCTTATCAGTAGCATGATGTATCGAGCTAGAGAAATCTGCACAATCGACACTGTGGACTATGAAATAAGGGAAATATAAAACTTAAAATATATGACAACGGATACCCCGAAAGTTTTTTTCAAGTCTTCATGAGGAGAACAGATAGAGAGAAATGCCTGCGAATGGTGTAGATAAGATACATGCGTAAACCTTGGGCACTGTGGTAGTAAGTAATTCCATATTAATTTGTTTATTAGATGCATCACACATAGTGTGAAACAGTATTACTATTTACTGAATGACAAAGTTTCGAACACAAATTGTTATTGTTCATAAACATATCAATTATAATCACACAAATTCGCAAATTTACTTTTATAGTTTTCCTTATTCTTTTTTTCCTATCTGATAGTTCTAAGATCTAATACAGTAGAGTGCAGGGAGAGATCAATCACGGAAGCTTCATTTATCGAATCAACTGCAAACCAACAGGTGTAATCAGAATGATTCAACATCTGTCCACTCAGACATCTGGAAAATTCTACTACCTCTACAAAAAATAGGCAAGAATAAAGAAAACTATAAAACTAACGTTTCGAAGTTGTATCATTATAATTGATATGATTGTGAACAATAACAAATTGTGTTCGAAACCTTGTCATCCAGTAAATAATAATACTGTGACATATCCAATAATCAAATTCATATGGTGCAGAAGGGACGTATATACATGACTTGATCGTTTAAAGGAGACACACACAACTTCGAAAAATTATAGTTAAGACATTTTTTGCCGCAACATTGTGTTTAGAATTTGCTATTCATTGTTTAATTCCAATGCAGGTGAGTGATAAGCTACCGAGTCTGACCAATTCAAGGTGCATTTACAAATTCAACTGTTCATATGGAGACACCTACATAGATAGAAAGATTTGGGAAGCCCACCGTCGCCTTCTGGAGCATTGTCCAACGTGGTTAGGTAAAGGTGTAGTGACGTCAAGCAGAAATTTCATACTGGCACACATAGTGGATACAGAGCACAAGATTTACAAAAATTCAGATTTTACAATTCTATACAAAGTGTTATCTCAACTCCCTAGGTTGGTACGTCTTCGGTTGCTAGGCTAGGGCTAGCTGGGGCAGTCGCCATAATGAATTTTCAAGCCAGTATCTGTGCTCAAAAACGTTTGTTCAATCTCTTCACCCACCCACCCCCCACATTCTAAAATAGTTATCTCTCTTGGTGACACAGGAAAACTGTAAATATTATCTTATTATCATTTTATTCTATTTGTAATGCTAACTGTATTATCAATATCATTCTGTTGTAGATTTTAACCTCGGTTTCACAACTCATCATTATCATATTATCTAGTCGCTATGTGACAATAGTTACTTCCTCTCTCCACCCCTAATAACACACACACACACACACATTCTATCTATACACTCACCACTACCTGGATTATACAAACATTTGAATCAATTTATCCTTGTTATTATTATTATTATGATCACGCCGATTGTTATCCATTAATTCGCATCTCTACACTCTGATCCTGGATATTTTATTCACCAAATTAATTCAAATGCACATGATTGATATTTCATCATGCAAAATGTAAAGCCTGATGAGAATTTACCGACAATACGTATTTGCTTAAATCGTGTTCTATAATTACCATTATGATAACACCTAAATTGTCGTGAGAGCTGTCTGTCAGCCGACAATCGCAGACAGCAATTTACGTCGATGTTACGTCCCGAATCAGGGTCATGAGAAACAAACAATAACAAAACTTAACCTTGAGGAACTCACCAACCAATCACAGAGGACTTAATGTGTGCAAATACGATTCGCAGATATATATGGCTTAACTTTCTGAGAAACGGTCACAAGCAGTACAGAATAACCTTCAGCAAGAAAACAACCAATCAGACGAGGTTGCTTCTCTGCTAACAATAACGCTAATAATAATGTACATAAAAATCTATAAATATCTCTTGATTTTCTCAATAAACGATCTGTTGCCTGTCCCTTGTCGTCTGACGTTACAAAATTATATCCCATGGTGTTTCGTAAGTTAAGGCAATATACATCAACCAGCATCATCTCTGGCACCACTTCCTACTTAAGACTTCCACACTGTCTCATAAAGCTTCATCCTGCATAATTCTGCACACCAAATACGGAACTAGCCTTCCCTGAGTTGAAGACTTCCCCGCTGATGAATGTTCAATTGTTCTCACTTGTGCAGGATGTTTTCGTATCGGATAGTTGTAAGCACCATTTTTAAGTTAAACGACGCGTCCGAATAATGTTCAGATTATCTTACAAATGAAGCGCTTATATTCACTCACCTCTTATAAATAAAATGTCCGAGTTATGAAAGTATATCGTAAGTCAGAGTATGTCAATAAGCAAAATAGACTGGAAGTTACAAACAAATTGTAGTTATCAATAAGGAAACATTTTCACCTTGTGCATAACTTACGACTTTAAGCTTATTTTCTGTTTCTGAACGCTGCAAATCTTCTTTCAATTTACTGATCATTTCCCGCTGTCGAACAATCAGTTTTTCAGCACGTCGGCGTCGATCTTCAATCTAAAATTTATTTAAATACACAGGATGACACTTTGCAAATATACCATATTTAAATGTGATACTGAAATGCAGTAAAACACATTTCCTTTGACTAACAGCCACACTTGTGTTAAGAGAAAACAGCATGTAACTCCAATAAAAAAAACACAAACCACTAAGATATATCACACTATGCTAATATATGAATGTCTTTATATGTATATTATACGGTTACAAGTTGAAGCCAGGTTGTGTGTAACTGGTTTCAAAGAGTTACACCCAGGGCTTTGGAATCACACAGCACTAATGCTCTTCCTTTTTCAGGTATTCCAAGAAGAAACTGACTTCTGTCCATGGTGTGAAGATCAGCCGGGAGGTGATAACTACTACACACTTCCATAACCTTCCATCCATCTTCTTGCTTTCTCCTCACTGTTCTACAGACACATTCTACGTCTTCTATCTGTCTATCTATCCATCAACTCTGATACCATTAATGGAGATTAAGGAAGGATGAACACTATCGTTAGTTGCTTAAAACCATCCTGTTGGCTTTATATTACAGCATTCGGCGTCGTTGTGTACTCCAGTTTATGATGATGATTGTATAGGGATCTACCTCACTAACATAATGTCTAAAATGTTATGTTAAATAGTCATGCATAGACTACGCGTTGCTCGGCAGAGACAGACAGATCCATGAAAACCATGCAGGTTTTAGACTCGGACGAATGTTACCACCATATTCCCAACGTTTGGTAGACTCTGGGACACAGGTATACTTACCAATGTTCAATAACACATGCCTAGTTTCTTGACCTGAATGCCACATTCCACTTCGTCCACTGAGACGTAGTGTGGTAATGTCTGACGATTAAGGGAGCTTCAGTAATTGCCAAATTCCCATTTACGCATTTAGAAAAAACAACAGATTGAGCGAAGAAATATATTCCTTTTCAATTAGTTTATCATCATCGGCTCTACACTTTGTTAATTTTTACAATTCTAGCTAATTCTATTAACTTGTTTGTGTTTTACGTAACTCTTCTGAGTCATCCTACTCTTCTCAGTCGTCATTATTTTACAGACCTATTGATTATGTAATAACTTGTTGCTAACGCCTAATTAATTTAATTAATTTTCACCCTTCGCCCCTTGGAAACTTAGATATCTTGTTACTAACACTTGTCAATTAGTTGTTTTGATGACCTGTAACCTCTTAATTTCACCCCACCCCCGTCTATACCTAAAACTGAATAACTAGAATAACCACTTGATTGGTGGGACATTTTTGATGTAAAAAACAATATATTTGTGTGGAGCCAGCCGATGTGATGAGGAACTAATTGAAAAGGAATATATTTCTCCGCTCAATCTCTTGTTTTTTTTTCTACATTAAGGGAGTCCCGAGAAAGCATACCGCACCAGTCCAGGCACTCCACCTCAACTCATTCAGCTCTGTAAGAACTTGTGGAGAGTTATCATACGAAGTAATAACAGCCAATGATATTCATCAAAGATGCACAATATATTCATTTTTGTTTAATTTCACCGGAGATGCACTAACTGATGTAACGACGTAGGGAGTGATTTGTTACCAGATAACAGTCCAGTCGATATAAGCCATGCAGATGACATTGTCTTTTTAGATGAAAACGCTGACAAAATGCAATCTGCTAAACACTTTGAGCGTAAATCTTCGTGTGTTTGGCATGCTATGTCAAATGTGAGATAATCCTGCAGGACTAGACTGTACCGACTCTTAGGATAAAAATAACGAATGATGTGATTAGGGCAAGTCACATTAAGCCTAATGGGCTGAATGATGACGAAGTTTCAACAAGGATACAAAAAGCTCGTGTGGCATTTGCTAATTTATGTCATCCCTCACATAGACGTGATCCGGCTATCAATCGAAGGACGTATATGTATTTCACACTCCGTCTACCTTTATGGCTGTGAAAGTGGAAGACCTAAATGGGCTGGCTGTCTTTACTTCACATGTTCCTCCCATCTCACATGTTAAATGATAAGGAATACTGAGGTAAGACCAACTGTAAGACAAAGATGGAAAATCGATAAGGTTGTGCAGCTACATCGATTAAGATGATTAGGACACGTGTTACGCACAACAATCCATCGGAATCCCAATCCAGCAATGTTAACTGACATACGATTAAGCTGTAGAAAAGTAAACAACCGTTAAACTAAAACAAGACATGAATCCATGAAGTCGTTAACTGTTGGATAAAGCCAAGTAGGGAGGTGTAGACTGCCCGTTTGAAGTCTACAAGATAGTAAGAACCAGTGACTTCAGACTGTTGGTGTCGTGGCTCAAAATTCTTCTATGCGATAAATACACATAGCACATACATTAACTTCTCATTACTCTCCATGTACTTATTTTTTCTCCTCTACATTTCCATTCATTATATTTTCTTGGATTTTCGCCCTCTACCTTAGTATACGATATGAAGTGTAAAAACTTGAGCTGCTGCACTTTCCTGAGAAGTTATATGCTGAAGACAAAGTCAGTCATTCAGTAAGCCGTCTATGTAGACTTAAGTCCTGGTGAGTGTTAGGAATACATACACATTAAATTTTCAGAAAAATACTTATCAGAACATTGGATCATAAACCAACTTGAGAAAGTGCAGAATTCTCGCGTTCATTTCTCGTAGAATTGAGTTGCATTCTCAAGGATTCACACTGAGCTTGAGTATCCCGTAGTTTTGATTGACGTTCCTTAGTGGAAAAGAAATAAAGGTTAAGAGGAAAAATGTCTCATCAATCTAGAATCACGTCGCCCATAACAAATTTACAAAAATGTATCCCGTTGCAGTAGCTAGCCCAAGCTATACAAACCAAATATTTCGTAACTTTGATTAAAATACAATGCAATGGATTAGAATTTCTGTTACACTAAGACGAACGTAACTATACTGTGATATACAACTTGAAGCTTCTTGGGAATGCATAACAAACAACTCACTACCGGATTGATGTTATCCTACGAATAAAAGTGACGTGTGCTGTCAAACACACCGTTCTGCAAACCAAACTTTGGTTGCAACCAACAATCAAGATTCTGTGTTTTTAATATCTTTATAAATGAAGAGGTGAAAACTCTTCGTATGCTATGTCATAAAATTGCATTGACACTGAAATTAGGTAGATATAATCTGCACTCATCCATAGTTTAAGAAGAGGGAGTATAGGTAGTCGAGTGTGCTGACCACTTCATTTGTTTGGAAAATGCTAACAAAACCTTGGTTCCGCTACAAAAGGTCCATCTCACAGTTTCCAAATCACTCTCATCTTTCGCATGACGTGATATCTGGATATCCACCAAATGACGTGTGTACTGTTCACTAGTTCACGCCATCGTTTTTGACGGCTGACATTTGGTCGTTGAAATTGGAATACTTGAAAAGGATAACCGTCTTTCAGCAATCAATCTTCCTTGTAAGGTGATGCAATATGGTAGTAATGCCGTTAGGCGTAAATTATTGAGTCAAGAGGGAAATTAATCAACTACACGATTAGGGCACGTGATGCATATTCCAAGAACTTCAAATTTATTTACTCATACCTTTAGTTGACGTTCCAGTTCAGTGATATCTTTCCGCAAACTATCACGACCCTCTTCTAGCTCAAGGATTCGTAGACGATGCTTTGACTCCACCAGTTCCATAGTAGTTTTCACCATGGATATTTCATCTTCCAACCATTTAACTTCGTCCGACAGTGCACTACTGGCCACCTCATCATCGTTGTCAGAAGCCTGAAGAGAAATAAATTTAACACCCAGCATAGATTAGATGTTAAACACGTCACATACAACATATTTCATGACAAAATCAATCTCTGCGGTAAATCCCCATACTTACAAACGAAATGCAACAGTAATCCTAGACAAAAAATCCATACAGATAAGATGATTAGGAATACTAAACTTATTCCCAAATGACTAAGTCATCGAAAACGATCACAGAGCAACGACTTGTTCAGTCTGTGTGGTTTGAAATTATGCCAAAATCATGTTATTAGCCTAGGATAAATGCTGCAAACATTATTATATGAAGAGGGGTATCCGGTGAGATCAATTAAAGGTTTCAACAACACAGAAATGTACATCTCAAAACTCCTTGCTACTGAAATGAGGTCAATACAAGACAATTAAACAGTTAGACTAATAATAGCCTCAATTGAATCAATGAAATAGTGTAACTTAGAACTAATAAACTTTCGTGAGATGCTCTGTATTAGCGTGCCTGTCCCACTAGAAGTACACCATAAACTGCATGAGTTGATCATACACAACAGAAAGTCTCCCCAAATACTCAACATTCCAAGTGAGGCAAACCAAATGCCTCATCAGCTTGAAAAAATCCTGTCTAATGAACTACCTAAACTTTCGGTACGGATAAAGAACATCTCCTTTTCAAACCAACACCAAGCATAACAAGTATACCTACCTCACAATTCTGAGCCTCAGCTTCTTCGAAAGCCTCCAACTGTTCCATCAACTGAGCTACACGTTTTTCAGTAGCATTAACCATCTCAGTCAATGAAACGACTTTCTCTTCTATTGTTTGTTGCTTTTGTTCCCGAAGCTGGTCAATAACAGATTCTAGGTCTGCGATTTTCTCAAGATAATAAGCCGCCATATCTTCTTTCAACTGTACTTTTCTTGATAATCTCTTATTCACTTCTAACATATCCTGTGTAATTGTCGAAACGGATTTAATTCACATATATGTTGCACAATTCAAGGAATTACATAACAAAAAAGCAAAATAATTATCATTCCAATAATCTCGTCAAAAAAGTTTATTCCTCAGCTAATGAATTCGGCTACAAAAATGCTGTACACGGAGACCTATAGAGCGGACAAGTATGGAATATATAAAAGTTCGTTTGTCACATACTACAATGACAGCCCCATTCAGCTGGAATGAATATAAATCTCCTAGATTGTAAGATTATGTGAACATTACTAGTTGGATCACAAAAGCAATTGATACTCAGTTCTTACCTCATAAGAAATTACACCACACGGTATCCTATTATCCTGACAATATTCGGTTCACAACACGACAACTGCGTAATTTTGCCACCAAATCTCTGACTGAAGAAGTTAGTACTATCCTACTTTTTGACCAAAGTACCCTACCTAAGCCTGATGCTAGCTCATTTGCTTAAACCGCTATCCTCAAGAGGCTTTGAGATGTTAGAAATGATCCAATACGTGCAAACTTTAATATATCCCTCCTTAAATGTTCTCAATAGACTGATCTAAATTAATTCAGTGACCACCACTTGAAAACCCGAGTATTACATCATGTGATGTCTGAATAACCTAGAAACTCTTATGTTAACTTAAGATGCCAAATAGTCTCAACGGAAGAATCCCATCTCGTCAATCGATTACCCATACCCCTGTGTTGCTAACGCTTAAGAGACTAACAGCTATAAAACAGAAGTGAACATGCAGCCAGGTTTATTATTATTTTATTTATTTAAACGCAGAAAAACTTGGTACAATATGGCACCAAGAAAGATGCGCCACACAATAATAATAAAACAACATAGATTAAAAGTAAAAATATATGTAGAAAACGGATAAAGAACTTCATCAGGAAGGAAAACAGTCATGTTTAAGAAGTTCAAACAGTATTCGTTAACTATCATCAGGAAGGGAAGAAAGAAGGAAATTGCAACACGTTCGCCATTGATTACGATTCTTGGCCATATCCGATAACCTTTCGAGCCATCGATTCGAGCTATCTCGCGGACCCCAACCAGGGAGTTGTGACACACCAACCGATGCTAATCTAGCACAAATATCCTTCATCCCACGACGCCAAGTCACGGACTGACCACCCCTCCGCCTTTTCCATCCCGTCCCAGGGCTAGCGAACAGAGACCTGTACGGAAGCCTCCGGGATGACATTCGCAGCACATGTCCAAGCCACCGGAGCCGGTGTTTCCACATGACGACACTCAATGAATGGTGATCTCCACTGTGTTCAAACACACGCCGCCGAACCTCAGAATTACTCACGCGATGACGCCATCGAACGCAAGCAATCCTGCGGAGACAGCGATGATCGAACACGCAGAGCCGCCGCTCACCCTCAGTTCGAGGAGGTCAGGTTTAACAGGCGTAGAGCAAGACAGCCCGCACCGAAGCATTGTATACCCGACTTTTGACAGCCAGGCTAACGTCGCGACGGCGCCAGAGGTGGCACAAGTTGATGTATGCCACCCTAGCCTTCATTATACGGTTGGAAATCTCATCCGTCACCCCTCCGCCAGCACTCACACAACTACCCAGGTACACAAACTTATCAACAACTTCAAGCGGTTCACCCGCAAGAGTGAGCGCAGGTACAAGCTCCTGCATTACCTTGGAAAAATCAAAAGAAGGCAAAATCAAACTTAACGAAATCGGAAAGAAAAGCTTTAGTTAGTCTAAAACAGGATAAAATTATTGTCATCGCAAAAGCTGACAAAGGAAACGCCACCGCAGTTTTGAATAAATCTGACTTTATCAAAAAAAATATTGAACATATTCAAACGGGTCCATATGAGGAAATTAAGAAGCCTGTAGATACAATATTGAATAAGGTTAAGGTCTACAGCAGAACTAATACGCAGAATGAAGCCGTCACTGGGTGAGTCTAAATGGTTTAATTTAATGGCTTAAACTAATAATGCTAGTAGAATATATGGTACTATTAAAATACATAAGCCAGGATACCCCATTAGGCCAAAAGTAGATTTTAGAAATAACACAACTTATGAATTATCAAAACATTTGGCTCTAATACTATGCCCTATCAGAAATCATTCAAACTCTAGATTAACTAATTCATATGAGATGAAAAGTACACTAAATGACTAGCGAATGACGAAACAATGGTTAGTTTTTATATAACTACTCTCTACACTAATATACCAGTAAATATAGCCTTAGAAGCGGTTAAAAGAGAAATAACTTCTGATTCCGAACTTAAGCAAGGTTTAAAGTGTGCGGGTACAAGTAAACTAATCATCCGTTAGAGCAACCCTGGCCAACCGCTCCCCTTCTTGCTCCAATGAGTTTATACTGGCATTCGTTTCTGCAAAAGAAGAAAAGAAAACTTATTTAGTGGTATTATACGAGTTTTTGTCCCATTACAGATCACCATAGTAGAAAAGTACCTGAAGGCGGCGCGTGAAGTAGCGTCTGTGCTTCCCCGCATAACTTAAACTGGTTAACTTAACAGTGAATGACTGAAATTAAACGTCACGTACAAGGTCATTGGTGGAGTGAGACGCTCAAAGGTCATTTTCGTCCATGTTACTGGGCCGTAGCTGTTCGTTTACACATTAGTTTTTCCGTTAACCCTGCAGTTATTCACAACTTATCTGGATGCACATTGTTCACAAATGTTGCGTTTCACTTCATTATTGTTTCCGTTTCTGTTAAAATTAGTTATTTCGTTTGTTTCGAAAGTTTTTACCATCAGGTCAGTGCATTTATTTCATAGTAATTGTTTCATACGTTGCATTCATGCATGGTTTCGGGGTTTTAGTTGTTTTTCAGCTATTAATGAATTAGTACTGTGTAGAAGTTTTGGAAATTATGCACATGAACATGTTTGGGTGGCAGAAACAACAGCTTAAGCTGTTCACTCGTTGGTTGCGGTTATTGTTGCTGGCTCAGTTGCTTACTTAACATGTAGAAATCTGGAAAAAAAATGTCTTTCACGTTCATCTTTACAGCATGCAACAATCTACGAGTGAATCTGGTGAAGAGAGCGCGATCAGGTTTGATATTAGCGAGTTTTTCGAAGAGCATATGAAACCTTGAGAATTTCCCAGCTAGCATTATTTTCGGGCGCACTGCAGGTTTTTTGGGGCAAGAAACTTCGGGCGCATCCACTTACGTAGAACAGTGCCCCTAAGCCTGCCTCAAAAAGTCTGCAATGCGCCTGCTAGCTGGGTTAGAACCTGGTTTGAAGAAAGTTTTTTCGAGAAGATGAATTACCATCAGTGTGTCTGTAATCAGTTAAAAAGTCAGATATATATTGTGGGAGAATCTAAATCAAACAAGTTTGAGCCACATGAGAAGTATGAATCTGTTGTGCTTGTGTGTATTTTTGGGAACTAAAAGAAACTGGAACCCCTAAAGGGTAAGTGTTATGTATGCTTATTAATGCTTAATGTACCAGATCCAAATGCATGAACCATGACTGCCTTTAGTAGAGCCAGTGTTAACAGCCACTCGATATGTTGCAAATCGATTTACAAAATGAATAAAATACGATGATCTGGTGAGTGTACGAACGATCTCAGTTAAAGGTAAGACTTTACTTAGCAAGAATAACGTTTTGGGTTGTGGTCTACGATCGCTGGTTTTCTCGATGTTGTGATTTCTCGGTGACTATAAACGCGGATTTCCATGATTTTATTTAAGAAAACTTTCAATAAATTTTCCTTGAACCAGTGGTCTTCTTTTTCTTGGCGAAACTTCTGTTGATACGATTAGACGATTAGGTAGCAAAGTAGAATGTTCTGTGACTGAGAATCGTAGTCATTGTGTTTCGGACTAATTTCGCGAATCTGACTGTTGTAACTGCAAATAGTGAGTCATTTGAGGTGATAGGATGAATACCTCTAAACGCTTCTGAGGAGAGGAGACTAGGGTATATTTACTTTATTCGAGTAAGAGACGATTTTTTACCAAGAAAGTTTTCAGAATTTCCACTTTTACTTTGCTATTCAAAGATAACGTTAAGTTGCTCACTAAAGCAGTAGCTATAGGAGATTACCTTCAGCGGAAACTATATGAAGGTAGCTTTACGTAATGCGTCATAGAAGTAAGCAGCGTAGGTTAATTGTAGAAAATCAAAACAAATGATTCAGCGAAGAGACTCTTTTCAACGAATTTATCATCAAGCTGTACAATCGTATATATATGGTTTTAAGAAGTTATATCCGGTGAGGGAATTGAAACATAGGTGTGAATGCATAAAATAATAATCATCCTCCTTCCTTACTTCATGATTCGCGAGACAAATGGGGTTATATTTATGGGTCTGTAATTGCGGACGTTTGCCTTATCTCCGGATTTATAGTGTGGAAATATGAAGCTAGTTTTCCACTCATTAGCGTAAGTGCCAGTGTCCATGAATATTGAGAAGAATTGAAGAAGTAATAGGGGTATATCAAACCCGCTGTTTTTGAAGATTATAGAAGCAAGGCCATCTGGTCCCGTGCTAGTGGAAGGTTTCAGGCTTTTAACTGCTTGTTCTATTAATTGGTTGGTGAACACTATGCTTCCGAGGAAAGAGCTAGTAAGGGGCCCGGTTTCACCAGGAGTGCGCGTTTCTAAACTGAAGTTTGCAAACCACTCACTGAATATTTCACAGATAGTGGCAGGCACATTATAGATGACTTTGTCATGAAGTAAATAGGGGATGTCCCTCGTCGACTGCATTCGTTTTTTAAGAAGTGTTGTTAGATTATAAACTTTGGAGGTGCTTTAAAGTGCCCTTAACTCTTCGTCGAGGTCCTTTTGAGAGCGTTGGCGCTTGATAGATTCAAGAGACTCGTGGATGGAGTGCAGTAGTGATATATCCTTAGTGGAATAGAACTGTTTCTTCAACTTCCTTAACTTATTGCGGTATGCCATCGGAATGTATTCAGCTGGTGTCTACTTAATTTCACTACCTTCTTAGGAGCAACAGTATCTAGACAAAGGATAACATTCCTGTAAAATAGGGACACTACAGCCTCCAGGGAGTCAGTGGTAAAATATTCATCCCAGTGACAGAGTCGAATGAGTTCTTGGACTAATCCCCAGTCTGTATGTTTGTAACTACGACATATCAGGCTCCCTGAATCCTGCTTGTTTCCTGTATTTAGTGGTGAGAAAGCCTGAGAGCAGAGTACCGTTCTATGGTCACTACTGGAAAATCTGTTATCAACATAGGTGGAGACTGGGATTGTGTCATGACAAAACACAAGGTCCAACATGTTGTCACCACGAGTAGGTGTCTGGACGTATTGCTGCCATCCATAACAATCGATAGTGGCAAGTAATCCGTCGAAGCGTTGGGGGCCGGAACTACTTAACCAATTGACTTCTGGCAGATTGAAGTCCCCTGCAATTATTTTGTAATTAGTACTAAACGGGGAGGCGTGTGCGAATGATTTAGCTAATAACGCATCAGTTTCTTTGGTTGAGCTTGGTGCGCGATAAACAGAGCCTATGAGAAGCTTATACTTATCTCCTTGTAAGACAACCCAGAGTGAATCAGGTACCTCGTTCAGTATTTCATCTTCCACCTTACTGACTACGGATGAGTTATGTATATATATGAGACATCCTCCACCACGCTTGCAATCTCTATCTGCACGGTGTACAGTGTAATCATCTCTGCCTATATGCACATCAAGTACAGAGTATGAGCACCATGATTCAGTAATCAGAGCTACAGTAGGCTGGGCGATAAATAATAATGTCCTTAGTTCAGATATCTTATTGATTAAGGAACAGGCCAGCTGAAGAGGACTGCAGAAAACCGGGTTTAAATGGAGATCACCTGTTGAAGCTGTATGTTCCACTCGGGACCCAAGGGGATAACCGTATAATAATAATAATAATAATAATAATAATAATAATATGTGTACAATCAGCACTCTTATATTTTTAGTTGCAAACTTGATAGGCACTGACCAGTGCTAAGTCTCAAATAGTCCGTTTCAATCTTTCACTAATGCACAGGATAACATCAAGATATGGATTTAATAACGACGATTACGACAGCAGCTATTAAAATATTTCAGAGAAGGGAATATAATAATAGCTTTATTCCAAACAGTACTTTTGGTACAAATATGGAATTTTCAGCATGTAATAAAATATTGCATAAAATCTTCTCATTACAGGGTCAATAATTAAAATAGGGCATTTACATTAATAATATTGTTCAGTAAGAAATGAATATTAAATTAAATTAAGAGAAAATATTAGTGACAATGTTAATAATGAGAACAAAAAGCACAATGCCGTTTACTTAGAGTTCCTCAGTAAGTTAGTTGGTAATTTCCTGTCTTACACTTTTCTCATCATATAAATTGTGTGCTAAATAATGTATTGTAGTGGTTTTGTAATCAGTCGTCTGAGCACACAGTATTTTATACTTGCTTCTAGTTCTACCTGATGGATGAGATGCAAGGGGACAGTTGTGTATAGAGATGTTCGGAGTCTAACAGGATAATATTTGCTAATTTCTTGCAGGAACCCATATATGTCTATCTACAGTAGTATTATCGAGTTGGTTTAGCAACACCCCACTCACTCTACCAACAACTTTTAGTGTCCTACGCAGTATAACAAAGTCTTTCGTAATTAGCCCCGGAAAGATTAAGGTGGAGGAACAGTAAAGAAGTATAGGCAGAATACAAGAATTAACAAACGATAACAGTAGAGGCAGAATAATACCAGATCGTCTTAATTTCCTTACAAAGAATGTCAAACGAAATATCTTTCTAGGAATTAACATGATGTGGGAAGACCAGAGGATGTACACAGTCCAAGGTATTTAACATTCAACCTAGTTTCAACTTCAGTTCTATCTATGATAATGGAACCGTGCGAACTAACCAGTTCACATAAGTCGCACATGAATCTGAAAGCGAAATTAGCCACCTGACATTTGGAGGGATTAAGCTTAAGACCATTTGCAGAGGACCACTGACTAATTTCCAATAAAAATTTATTCATTTTGGAACAACCTGATTTGAAGTAACCGCCGGCATGTGACTATTTAGTCACATCATCGGCATACTTAACAAAATTGGCTTCATCAGAATGGGGCAAGTCGTGTAAGAAGCAGGAAAACATGAAGGGAGATAGAACAGCTCCATGAGTAACACAAACTAGAGTAAGTGAAGCAGCTGAGGACTTCCCAACATGCATACAATGAACTGCTTCCCATCAAAGAAGTAAGAATCTAACGATTTATCAAATAAGCCACCTCCAATTATCTCAAGTTTTAGTGATATAAAGTGTTGATGAACCACAGCGAATGACACGAAATTCATCAACAACAACAAAAGCTGATCATACAAGATGCAATTGCAGAGTTTTATAAACTCTGCTTTATATGAATCTCATTCAAGGAATTCATTTTTATTAATACTGGTTCAATAAGCACATTTTAATAATTACACTGCCTTGAAGAATATAATTGTCTATTGAGCCAGCGTAAAGATCTAACTGGCGACGGTCAAACCAAAAGATGGAATCTAAGACATTTGCAATTAATAGTGTTCTCTGAGCTAGTTGGTTTATTCACACCATTATATACTTCAATTAAAAAGACAGTTGCAGCGAAGAAAATTTTCTTTTCGACGAAGTCATCATCTAGGCTGTACATTCGTGTATTTATATTAAATGGATGGGAAAGTTCCAGAACAATTTCTGGTTAGGGGTTGAATTAATAAAAATTACAATTAGGAATTAGAATGCCATAATAAACAGGGGGATGGGTAAAACTAAAACAAAGTAGCATAATAACTAAGAAAATTGACATTGTGCGATTGGGGTACAGCCTAGATGATGACTTCGTCGAAAAGAAAATTTTCTTCGCTGCAACTGTCTTTTTATTCCCTATGATGAAATGTGTATACTTCAATTAGTCCAAAACTAGCAACAGAAACTATGCAACAATTACTCTGTTGTGATGAAAACATATAAACGCAGTGATGTTCAACTTGGATAGAACTCATAAAATTATGCCTTACAACATACTTCCAATTCAATAATCAAATATATGAACAGATAAAAGGAACACCAATGGGATCATCGCCCATATCAGAATGAATAGCTGAAGCCGTCATGCAAAAGATTAGAATTAATAGCTCTACCTATAATTAAACCAAAAGTCTGGACAGGTACGTTACGTTGATGATACATTTGTAATAATTAAGAGAAATGACTTAGAATATACCCATAAATTAATAAACAACATATTTGAAGACATCAAATTCACAAGAGAAGAAGAATTAGATAACAAAATCTCATTTTTAGATGTCTTAATCAAGAGAACCAACACAGGAAATTTAGAAACACAAGTATACAGAAAATCAACGCACACAGAACAAATACTCAACTATACTAGCAATAATCCAATTAATCAAAAAAGAAACTGTGTGCAGACATTGTTTAAAAGAATTCAAACACACTGTAGCACTCCAAAGTTGAAAAGAATGGAAAGAAAATATCTCCAAACGGTCTTCAAAAAGAATGGTTATCCACAAAATTTCATCAAAAAGTGTTTAAAGTCGAATCAAAACACCAACAAAGAACCATCATCAAAGAACACAAGAAAATTCATCCTACCATACATGAGAAATATCTCTGAAATAACAGCTACAATACTGAAACCGTTTGATATAGATATAGCACACAAGCCAGTCAAGTCACTTAATTCAATATTGTGCAAACTGAAAGATCCAACTGAAAAAGGAGATAAAATTAATACCATTTACAAAATAAATTGTATGAACTGTAACATGCATTATTACATCGGCCAAAGTGGGCGTCCCCTTCGAATTAGAATCCAAGAAAACCAATCAGCCGTGAAAAGACATGATATATATTCTTTCACATCAATGCATATAGACAATTATGGACATCAATTTGATGATTGGGATGTCGAAATCTTAGACAAAGGAAACACCAAAAGTGCCAGGGAATTCCTAGAAGCCTAGTACTCAAACGAATATGCAATTAACAAACACGTTAACATATAGACCACAAATATACCAACCAATAAAAAGTAAATTACATGTGACCAGAAAGTTTAAAATCCAAGTCAATAGAAAATGATCAATACACTTATGTAAAGATGGTTAACGGGGGACGCAATTCTATCACTCATGAAGAAATTTTAATGACTTCACTTTATGCTAAATATTGCGCTGAAGATGTTGTCCAGCAGGGGGACGACGAAAGCTCCGCAACTAAACCAACCAGCTCAGAGAACACTATTAATTGCAAATCATTCACCTGAGCTACAAATCTTCTCTATTATTTCAAAATCTAAGACAGTTAGTTTGAGCTAGACTGCTTGGCCGGCCGGTTAGCGTTCTCGAGATGATAACAACCAATGATTGGAGACAATCGGTGATATGGCTCAAAATCGTTTTGAATGACACTATGACACTCTTGGTGACCTGACCTCACATATTCACCAAAACTGTCACTTTTTTTCTCCACATTACTTTCCTCTTTCCACACCGAATTTCTGTTTATGATGGTTCTTTCGAGTCTCTACTTTTTCTCTTATTTATCTTCCTGTGTGTGTGACATGGGGTGCGGCAACTCGAGCAACTGCACTTCTGTGCAGAGTTGAAACCAGTCAATCACTCTGACTTGCTACCAGGGAATAATTTCGTTGACTTAGAATATGCAGACGATATAGTCCTTCTAGGCGAGGACGCTAAAAACATGCAGAGTCTTCTGAACACCCTGAGCTGCAATCTACGAATGTTTGGCATGCGATTCGCTCCCGCCAAATGCAAGATGATGTTACAGGATTGGACTACACCGACTCCTAGATTAGAAATAGGAAGTGAAGTGGTAGAGCACGTTGACCGCTTCACTTATTTGGGAAGTACCATCAGCCAACGCCAGTGGGTTGATCTCTGACGAAATTTCAGCATGGATACAGAGGGCTTGTTTCGCATATGCCAGTTTACGCCGTCTCTGGCGTAGACGCGATATCCGACTAGCGACCAAAGGACGTGTGTACTGCTCAACAGTCCGCTCCGTCCTCCTTTATGGCTGTGAGTGAGACATGGCCATTGAGAGTGGAAGACATGAAAAGATTAGCTGTCTTCGATCATAGGTGTCTGCGTTCTATCTCCCGCGTGAAGTGGTATAATAAGGTGAGCAATATTGAGGTTAGGCCTCGAGTGCTAGGTAAGGTGGGGAAATCAGTCGACGAGACTGTGAAATTACATCGACTGAGATGGTTAGGACATGTGTTACTTATGCACATCTAGTCATCGCCTTCCTCGACGGGCAATATTAGCTGGTATAGGGTCAGGCTGGAAAAGAGCTGGCGGCGGTCAAACCAAAACATGGCACTAGTCAATGAAATCTACAACAGTTAGTCTAAGCCACGTAGGAAGGTGTAGACTTCCTAAATAGTTGGGGTCCTCGGGACAGTAAAAACCAATGGTTGGAAACAATTGGTGATATGGCTCAAAATCGTTCTCAATGGCTGTTGCAGATGCATCCACTCCTTGTGACTCATGATTTCCAATGAAACTGTTTTGTTCTTCGTTATTACTATTCCTTTGTCTCACACCTCTGTTTACTGTCTCTATTATGCATTCCTTCTACTTTCTTCTCTTGCTTTGTGTGTTAATCACAGGGAGTGTGGCGACTTGAACTGCCGCACATATGTGCAAAGTTCTATATCGAAAACAGACAGACAGACAGACAGACAGTCAATCACTCAGTCAAACAAAGAAAATTAAAATAAAAACAGAAAGTACACAGTAGAAAACATGATATTTCCTCTTAGGAATTAAAAAAAAAACAGTTAACTATATACAAACAATAGGCCATATACATATACCAAAAATAGTATTTACAATTTATCTATTATTCAAATTTCCATCAGCACTCAACGATCGACGGTATGAATGTTTATTACTATAATATGATTTGTGACCAGATCGAGTACAATTATTCGAGGTAGTAGTAACAGCATCAGTATCTCGTAGTAACTTAGATCGTAAAGATAATTGTTGTTTACAGGCAATATACTGTCTCACTAATTCATGATAGGCTTCATCTTTACTTGCGTAAGCTTTATCCAATCGAGTCAACTCTTCCACTTCTTGTTTCAATTTACGACGTGAATCTTCTAATTCTTGGCTAAAATTAACAATAATAATAATAAAATTCAAGAGTTAGTTTGTAGGGATTTGATTTCAGGGGACCATTGTAAAACCACCAGGAAATACTGGACGGTTGTTTCGTCCTAGTTCAAGACTCTTCAGGAAAACACACCCACCCGGGTTCGAACCCAGGAACTTTTAGTCACGAGACAAGCTCACCGATCATTCAGCCACTGGGGCTCAATCCAATGGCCAATGTACAATTCAACTTCTACCAATCCGTGATTTCAGAGAGATCATTAGCCAGCCATCACGACTTCTCACGACCAGTAGGGTCAATCATGTTGGATGTGAAGACAAATACACACGCCGGTGACATTCACTGGCCGTGGCGCTTAAATCATGAATTTACAGAAGTTAGAATTCATTGGGGGGGGGTGCTAGGGTCATTGGATTCCGTCCCAATGGCTGAACACACTGGGTTTGAACCCCAGTCAGTGAGTGGTACGTATTGATGAAGAATCTCAAACTTGGACGAAACAGCTGTCCAGTAGTCTCTAATTCTTCAATGGTTCTCTAACTGATATCAATCAATGGTCAAAACTTGAAATAACAATAATAATAAGGTTGGTAGCAGTAAGTTTTAAAGCGTAAGGTGATTACGCCATGACCACGGTAATCTGATCTCAGAGTCGTATAGTGCTGATGAAACGGACTATGGAGGCAGTAGAGTGCTTCTTTCAAACTGTCAAGAAGCCAAGTATGTTGGCTTTACACTATAAAAATGACAGTACAGACTACACAGAAATTATAAGTTGTACAACCCAACTTAGGTTACTGAGGTTTATACACAATCAAATAATAGCTTTGATTTTTAAAAACGAAACTTCTAATAGTATGTGTAACCTACATCAAGCAACAGTCTTTGGAGCATTGTAGTGATATAAAATTAATCCACACTTTTTATTTCAAGTACAATAGGAAGACATCAATTTCTACGGTGTAAGTAGTTGAGAGAATTCCACACACCACCCCCCACCCAGTAAAGCTATTCTTACACTCAAGACTCCTACATTCGATACTGTTGAACATATTATAGACACAACAGTCGTACTATAACAACAGAAGACAAGGGCCAGGCAACAGAACGTTTATTACGGAAAATCAACACGTATTTATAGATTTTGATGTACATTATTGTAGGTTAATGTTAGTAGAAAATACAGTCTGTTGATTGGTTGTTTCTCACACAGAGCTAACCTTGCATCTCTTGTGGCTGTGTCAGTTCATCTATATGTTAACTGTATCCGCCTGTCCATCTTGACTTTGACCTCAATTACTGCCAACCAATTTGGCTAGCAACCATCTCTCACCACAACATGACTAATATTTGATACATAAACATTGACCTCAATTACTGTCAACCAATTGGCTAGTAGACAGCTCTCACCACAGTACTAATCATGTTGTCACTTTATATTCAGATTAAAAATAATAAAGTCTTCTTTTTACATTCATAATATAAGATGAACATTATATTACAGCAAGTTACGATGCCGTTTATGTTTCTCTTTCAAAAATAATGGCAGTGTTGAAATCTGCTTAAGATTGTGGTGGTGTGATACAGACAAGGTGTGACAACGGACAGACAACGGAATGTTATTCCCACAGTTCAATACTGCGTACAATATGTCTATTTGAACATTCTATTTCTTGTCGTTTGATGTATACCGAAATCAGCGAATATAAAGTGTAGACATATAAACAGCGGTTTGATTAATGAAAAGTATACTTTGGCTTCCATGTCTTGCCTTCTGTTGTCCCAAGGTAATTATAAAAGTTAGAATCCCAACGCAAGTGACTGAATGGTTAGCGAAATAAGTCACATAACCTAAGGCGTCCTGGATTCGATCTCCAAATGGGTTCGTGGGGTCGCATTGTTGAAGAGTTCCACAATAGGACAAAACAACTATCCAGTGCTTCCAGTTGATTTTCAGTGATCTCTCTAACTACCGTTGGTTCTTGACGAAAATCCAACAATCTAACTGATGTCAGCTCATGATGAAATCCTCCAACGAATCAAACCAAATCCCTACAAAAACCAAGACTTGAAAAAAATGATCTGATGCTCACTAGCGACTGGCCCCATTCAGGCAGTGACCTGGGGTTCTAGTGGAAAGCCGTGATAAGAAATCTAGAGAATAGTTCAACTATAGCACTCACTACATGCAATTACACACAACCATACAATAGAATGCGATGAGATGACAGTTTTAAAATCTAATGTAACAGGGTGGAGGGAGAGATTGATAACAGAAGCCTTGTTTATCGAATCAGCTGCAAATACGTGTAATAGGAACGATTCAACACCTCTCGCAGATACCTGGAAAATTTTACTACCCATACAACAAATAGCAGAAGACAAAGAAAACTATAAAATTCAAGTGTCAAAGTCGTGTGATTACAATTGATATGATTATGAACAATAAATTTCGTTCGAAACACTGTCATCCAGTAAATAATACTGTTCCACACTGTGATACACCCAATAAACAAACTAATATGAACCAGATGTGCTGTTAGAGCCTTACGTTCTACTTGTAACCCAAAGCAATAACAATAATAAATAACATGGAATATTGAAGTAAGACAAAGTCAAAAGACTTGTAAATTACACTAATGAAAATAACACAGAAAATGTTTTTCCCATCTCAAATAAAAAACACCGATGAATTTAATAAATGGATACGATGATTCTCTTTTTAACAGAAACAAAACAAAACAAAAAAAGCAGACGTACTGAGTTCTCTGTAGAATATCCAATTTTGCTGATGACCCAGAAGAGGTATCTTGAAGGGTATATTGTAGATTTTTAGCTTTTAGTAGTAATGCTTGAATTTGTTTATCTATAACCAGGCGTGCTTGACGGCTTACTATTGGATACAATTCAAAGCGATACTCTCGAAATAGGCGAGAGGATAAGGTGTATATTCTACAAACAGCCTAGAAATGTGTAAACAATAATAGTAATAGTAATAATAATAAACGGGAGAGTTAAGATCATATTGTATTGTATAAACTAACAGCATTTTGAAGCATGAAGTTACTTATATAAACATATCAGAAATTTTAACATTTAAGTATAAAGCAGTACAAGAACTCTTTTTTGGAGTATTTATTACGTGTATGCGGTTGAATATAGAAAGATCACTGTTCGGTAAAGCAATAGCTAACCTTTATGCAATTCTGTAAAGTGCAAAATTAATTTTAACCAGTACGAAAGTAGTCAGTGGTTTTATTATACTTTTGAGTAATAAAATGTCACTTCAAAAAAACAAATATTGACACACGTGCCGAGTCGTCTGCTTCATCGATGATTGATGTGTTAGGTGATATATGATTAGGTTGTATAAGCGTTAGGAGTAGTCAAATCAGAAGTTGGTCGAGTGTGACGACAGATACTCGTCAATGATGACATTCGCTAGCGGTCGCTCTATGTCATGAATTAGAATTCATGAACTAGCCATTGGATCGGGTTCCAATGGCTTGATGGTCTACGAGCTAGCTCGCCTTGTAACCTACCGCTACACGGTCCTGGGTTCAAAAGTTGGCGGTGGGTGCGAACCGCTGAAGAGTCCCAAACCAGGGTGACAAAACAGCTGTTCAGTACTCCCTGTAGGCTTTCCAATGGTTTTCTAACCGATGTCAGCTCATGATGAAATCCTGTAACCAATCAGTCAAATGGCTACAAACTAATACTTGATTATCATAACCTGTAATTACTCCAAGAAGTTTATGAATGTTGGCTTGAGCCAGTCATATAGGGGGGTGTAGACTGCTTAGTTGAAAGGGTTTTTGAAACGCTAAGAACCATTGGATTTATTCTTTGTAGTCTCCCACACTCATTACACCTACTTGTTTTTCTATGTAATCATTCTTTCTTTCGTTCATTTATGACCATTACGATGTTGTTGTTTTTTTTTGAATTCTTCTCTTTTTCCTAACCTTTGTGGGCTATGTGGATTGTGGAAACTTGAACTGCTGTACTTCCGTACAGAGTTCTACAGTGAAACTCAGTCAGTCAGTCAATCAAACTTGGAAGTATCCTAAGAGTTGGCAATGTTATGAAAGTTCATTCATTTGAAAACCAACTACTTTGGCGTTTCGATATTGGGGTAGTAAACCTGAATTCAAACTCTAATCGATTTCTTATAATATATTGATAGTGATCAGAAAGTGTGGAAATTTCACATGTAGAACTCCACTGCTTATTAAAATCTTGCCTTTTGTACAACAAAACTGAAAATTAAATCTGTAACCACATAAGAAGAGAGCAAGCTATCAAAAACAGTAATGTACAGGACTGAAGACAAATGTGCCAATTTATAATATGCAGTAACGGCCGAAAATGCTGAAGTGGGTGAAGATAATCAAGTGGTGAGTGAAGAATAAAACGCAATCGCTAGGATGTTACAGGCAGCGAGTGATGCGATCTATGATTAACTAGGTGGTCAGAAAGAATACCAATAAACTGTCAGAGATTTTATATGGAAACTAGACAGTATTTAGTCATGCTTATATGAATTTCTTAAACAATAGCGTCAGCTTAATAATAAAATGGACGCAGTAGCTGAAAGTACCCACACTTTAGACACTACACTTGAAACCAAATGGAAAGGGTGATTGACATTAATTTTAGGATCAACTATTAGTGGTAATTCCCTAAGAGAAAACAGCTGACGAGTACTGCTCAGCCAACATTTGATCCATATATCGCCTGGCCCTAGGTATTAAATATATAATCTTGAAAAGTAACAGCTTTTAGGCTATTGGAAAAGAATTCCAATAATATTATAGTATCGTATTTAAGCAATGGCGCTCTATAAATCGAAGAATGATTTAAATAATTATGCGTCCAAGTTTACAACTCTACACAAATAAGTGTCATGCAATAATTGATGCTCAAAATTATGTACTTCTGTAAAACGCGCTTGCAATTTTCTAAGTTTCAAAGAAAGCTGACTTTTCTTCTCTTGGATCTCGTCAATTGAAGGTAAACTATCAAACTTCAACACACCTGAAAGTAAAGGGTTATGAAAAGATGTATCTAACCTTGATTATTATCATTATTATTACTATTATTATTATCTGCGAACAACGCCAACCTGTCGTCTAACTTTTTTTCTATGTTTCTATTCAAAAGTGGTACAATATCGTTGACAATCATATCTCTGCATATCTCTTCTGAGTCGACGAGATCGATCTTTTTCGTGCCTTGAATAAGATGACATTCAGACCATACTGCGGCAAGAATCTCATATGCATCCCTTTCACGACTTGTTAACAAATTCAGTTCATATTCATAGGTTAAGTCCATCATAACTTCCCTCAGTATTTCATATTGAATCAGTTTGAAGTAATACGGTAACTTGTTGAATGAACGTGTTGTCTGTTTACAAATGTTTACAAATAATTAATGCAATCATTGAATACCTCATGATTTAAACAACGACAAATTTGAAGGTCTACAGGAAATGGATTACTAGTCGACATTGAAGAATCAGCTGTAAAGTGTACAAGCGAAAAGTAAAACTTTGGTGAACACTACACAATAATGCTTATTAAAATTTCAGCAATAATTAAGAAAACCTTTAAAGATTATTTTAGTCATTACAAGACAGAATTTCGAATAAACACATACCAGAGAAATTTAGAAGAGCTTACAATACCACCACTATGCAAGTGCCATCTACGTTAAATACACGTTGTCCTAAGTTACTTTTCACAGACCAGGTTGTTAAGTTAAACCACAATTACATGTTAGGTTTAAAGAGAGTGGATGTTACTAGTAGTGGCCAATATCTATAATACAATTAACACGTGTTTGCACTTCTATATCAAGCTGTACACATAGGGAAAGCGTCATATTTCCATGAAACCTAAGTGACTAGATTCGGTATTTCATTCTCTTAATCAGAATGAATATGTCATTTTGATATACACAATAGACCTCAAAAAAGCGCTATGTTTGTAATGATCCCTACTGGGTAGAATAATTTCAGCAAAATTTATAGGTGCTTTCAAGATTATAATTTAACCACAAATGAAGAAGGTTGGTGCAGATCACTCAGAATGCCGGAACTGGACTTATAATTACTTTAGCAGACTCAACGTCTGTGAGAATATTTAGGAAAGCAATTAGACTTAAAATCAGACAGGACTGCAGAGTATTACATGCATCTCCAGAATATTTGAATCAATTGAGGCTACTTCCCTTATTCAAGGTGGCATATAATAGCTAGAACGTAACACATATTACTCGCTTTACCCGTATTTCCCACTTTTCCATATTGGTTTCACATCACACTTTCTCATATTTTACTCAACCTTAATCCTATATTTCATATACAATAATTATTGAGCTTGAAAATGTTCTAAAAAATTGTCATCTAGGATAAAACATATTCCACCATTTGGTTCAATAAGTCGGGTTAATTGTGGAATTACTGATAAGGAAATGTAAATTAACCCTAGATTTCTCAACATTTAGCAGACATGTAAAAAGATCAAAACGATTGACAACAGAAGTCATGTTGCCTAGCCAATAAAACGAATCCGTTTGGATACCAGTACACTAACAATTATATGTAACTGAATACCTCAAGACAGCAGCAAGCCGCGCCAGTACCGTTCCATTCGAAACGCGCGGTGACTTTGGAGAGGGTAACCTTCAGTAACCGAAATTTTGTATCGAGAATGTACACTATAAGATTTTTCGCTGCCCAATCCTGATTGTTATTTAGTGATTACATAACTCTGAGGTTTATCGATGAAGTGGATTTGTTCCATTGCAAATTGTAGCCCTGATAACAACATGAGGTGAAACATGCAGTTAAACTAAGAATGGCGGAAATACTAGAACTGGCACCAATATCACTTCACTTGATTATATTCCATACCAGTTCAGTTATCCAAATCAGATTTCAAGATGCTCTGATTTCAGGGTCTGAGGAACTTTAGAATTCTAAGAGTAAAAATTATTGAGATACTGTTCATTTCCCCATAAACTGAAAAAAAGAGACTTGTAACAACACCCATTCACAGCGTGGCATGGCGCTGATCCGCCTCCGGCATATCAAAAATTATTGTGTCTATACGTGAGCATTAATTGGCATATAATCAATGAGCTGTAATAACGCCGGAGCAGCTTTTGAAAATGTGCATTGCCCAGTCGGCACCTGATGCACTACTGTACTGAAAATCGATGGCAGTCTTGCAGGAAATTTTCACAGTAGGATGCTGATAACCTGGAAAAGACTATGAGATGTAAAGAATTTTTAGCAGTCCAATCACATGCGTATTAGTCATATGAAATATTATTAGGCGGTAAAGGAAGGGATGGTAGATCTGGTTAAAGTTAAAAAGTAGTGGTAAAGGCTCCAAAACATTCAAAATCAATAACCCAGGGGATGGAGATAATACTATGTCTATCGTGGTGTCAAAAAATTTACCATGGAAATCGTTTTTGGACAGAGCAAGTAGAATACATTTGGTAGGACAGATGATGTAATTATACTTCGTTGGACCCTCTCAGTTGTATGCAACCATGAACAATTTAATGTCAAATTACTGTGGTGCTTTAGTTATTAATCAGAAGGGTGAAAGGTAAACCACACCACATGAATATGCAGGACTATGTGATGGGATAAAAGTTGTTGTCAACCTAGTTCCTGTCTATGGAAATAATCAAAGAACATCCCACAGTTACATGTGTATGTTAAAAATTGAACAAAGGTTCAAAGTCAATAATTTGATTATGAATGGTTCAAGTAATTCGGCCGAATATAAATCAAAACTGGCCTGGACAGGATTATAGATTAAGATGCGACTAGAGTAATTATATTGTCTGAAAAAACAGAGCTTAAATAACAACAGTACCAACTGAAACTTTCACAAAAAGCATTTGGGTAACCTAAGATATGTCTACCAAGGTAAAGCAAAATTCACAACCGTTTATTTATTGATGCATAATTTTGATTCTAACCGTTTAGTGGCAATCGCTTCATTGATACGTGCAACCTCAACCAACCTTGGACTCGAATTATCTAAATGGATTTTAATGTGACAATTTCGTGACTGCTATCTAACAAATCAAGCAGCTGGACTTCCAGGGAATTTCATGCATTTCACATGCCAGTTTCTGAAAATAAGCGGTCACAAATCCTTCTTTCTGTTCGTCTGATGCATATGCTTCGTCACATGCACGTAAATTGGTTTATGCAGTTGGAGACAACATGAATGTGAAAATTGTTATCTTTGGATTATGTAAGTGAGTATTTTATTCCGTGAATTGTGCCTAACCTGCAAGCTGAGTAGAACCACTCTAGAGCTGCATTCATCCTATGTATAATTCTTCCAGATACTTAGTCAAAGAGTAACTATGAAAACTTCAAGGAAGCAAAATTGAATAAAATGCTTGAGAACAATAACGTCAACACGATTCCATCTAGCAAACTGAGTCACACTAACAACCTCACTGATAATCAACAATATGACAGTGTCACTCAATTGGATGTCTATTGTAATTATTAATTTCTATACTCCCGTAAAATAGTATATTCAGGGAACAGATTCCAAGTAAGCTCTAAAAACCGCATTCTAAGTGAATGGAAGTGCTCCAAACTTCAGCAGTATACCTAGACAGGATAGTATCACATTTCAGTTCTCTTGCTTTTTGAAAAACATCAGAACCCAAATAAATAAATTTATTCTCATAGTACAGTACATGAGGGACGCCAGTTTACAGGTATCATCAAATCGTTACAGAAATAGAACCATATAATTCAATCACAATTTACAGGCAGTAGCAAGATATGCTTTACATGTTCGCTGGAGATTATACATACACTTGGTAAATGTTAATCCCAGTGGTATAAAACAGCCTTTTCACTTGTACACAATCATTTCTGTGCACAGTTGGAGAAATCTGCTAGATTGTCGGTGAGTGCAACACATCAGGAAATACAGAAGTATTGTCTTCGCATTAACAAAACAAACCAGGTCTTTGGTGGATGGATTATAAGTGCCTGGGAAAAAAATAAAGCTTGAAGTCAATTTTCATACATAACTTTGTTGTGTGCAGAGTCCTCGAATTATAGTTCATTGATGTGTTATTTTGAAATCAGTGATGATCTGCAATGTCATTGTTGGGAGTAAATACATAAGCTTCAGGCGCATTAATTAATGGATTTCTACTGCTTGTGGGTATTTTCTTAGCGTGAGGAAGGTTTATGAATTTCAGCTGTTCCGACAGGAGTTGAGAATATTAACTGCTCAGCAACATTATGGATATAAGTTCATCACATTATCTTAGGAAAGGTGGGTTGTAGTTGTTGAGGTATATGTGGTGCCCAACAAGCGTACATCTGTCCATGTGATGTTGTGGTGAGTTATACCTTTTTCATGTTGTCGGTTTATGTCCATTTTATTCCACTTGTTGTGTTGGGTAGTAGTTTTACAAACGAGATTTCTTGTCTGTTTGAGGATACGTATGTTAACCGTTAATGTTTTATCTAGAATTATAAATATAGGCAAAAAACAACAGGTGCAGTATTTAAGCTTATGCGTTAAGTGGACCTATAATTTCGGAGGCTCTCAGATAGGAACTAGAACTACTATCGTTCGCAAACTCTTGTAGTTTGTCATTAAGCACCTTTTTGAAGGAGGCCAATGTACTTGCTTGACGCATTTCCATTGGTAGTTTATTCCATATCTGTGCATACCTAATCAAGTGAAACTTTTGCCTGGTGGCTGTTTTGCATTGTTCGATAGCTACTGTACCCTTAGTGTGTCTAAGTTTGTAGCCATTGTCATCTGAAAGTCGAGTGCCATTAGTAGAGGTAAAAACTAAGTGGTTTAGAAGCTTATAGTAAAGTGTCAAGTTTAGTCTCAGGCGTCTTAGCCATAGTGTTTCTAGTCCTAGGGTATCACATCTAGTGGAGTAGTTCGCACCATTTTCGGTTCCGAGTAATTTTAACGTGAAGTACCTCTGCACTCCCTCGACTTTCAATTTGTCCTCTATGCGTATACTACTATACATGAATGAACAGTAATCAAATAAAGGACGCACACAAACCTTGTACAGCAGAATTCTAGACTCATTTCTGTAGAAGTTCCTGAGTAGAAAGCCGATAAGTCTGCGTGACTTTGACACTTGTTTGGAGATATGTTCAGAAAATGATAAGTTATGTGAATATTCCAGCCCTAGGTCCAGTACAGATTCCAGTCGTTGAAGTGCATGGCCTTGAATTGTCAAGTTAAGTTCTAAATTGTTGCAACCTATGCAGAGCCAGCCACATTTTTCGACATTAAATTGGAGTTGCCAGGTGTCACACCATCTATCCATTTTTTCTAATTCTTGCTGTATGGCGTTTACTGTTATTCCAAGATCTGTGTTCTTGCATTTATACGTCACTTTTAAGTCATCTGCATATAGTATTGGTTTACCTACACTAAAGCATTCACAGATACTGTTTATATATATTATGAGTAAGAGTGGGCCTAATACACTTCCCTAGATCACACCACTACTTACTGGTTTAGGCCTTGAGATTATCGGGCCAACTTTCGTTGTCTGACTTCGGCCACAGAGAAATGATTTTATCCAGCTCAGGAGAGGATCACATATCCCTAGTGAGCATAACCTGCTGACTAGCAGATTATGGGGAACTCTATCGAAGGCTTTTGTTATATCGAAATATAGCACAATTACTAGTTCTCTGTTGTCCCTACTTTGTGTAACTTCGTTGAAAAAGTCTATGTGACAGGTCGCACATGATCTCTTTTTGAGAAATCCGTGTTGTGATGGATTGATAAGTTCATGTTTTAGTAAGTTGTCTGACACTTAGTCTTTAACCACTTTCTCCATTATTCGGGATATTACCGGTGTTATATTGATAGGTCGATAGTTGCATACACTGGTTTTGGCCCCTGCTTTGTGCTTAGGTAATATGTATATATATGATGATGCCTGTTAACTGGCGTCCCTCATGTAAAAAATGAGAATATACTATTATTATTATTATTGTTATGTGGTTTTCCCCACTTCAAGATAAGTTCCAGTTTCCAGTGAGAGAGTAAATATTCTAAGCAACAAGACTACCATTCCCTTGCTACCATCTTTGTATATGACCGATGGTAAGTCGTCTGTTCCAGTACTACCATTAGACTTCAATGTCTTAATCGCTGAGTCTATATTTTGTATATTAAAGTCTTTCGCCTAATTTGTGGTTACTTTTGCAAGTCATTTGGAAGTTTTGGGTCGGGTGTACTCTGGCGTCATTGCAAAACCACTCACTGAGGAGTTCACTTATAACCTGGGGATCATTGTATATCATACCCTTATGTTCCAAGCTGCTTACAGTATTGTCTTTACTGCTTTTTAGACGTTTCTGCAATATCCTACAAAGTTCCTGAGTTTTGCAGTTACCCACAAGCGCTTTATTTTCTTCAAGTTGTGACATCATTTTGTGTTTATCTTCAAGCCGATTAAGAGTTTCATGTATTTGGTTTAATGCATTAAATTCCTTAAATACATGGTATTTCCTTTTCAATTTCTTTAATTTTAGTCGCGTTTTGCGGTCTATAAATGGAGTTAGTGTCTTCAGAGCTGATTTTAGGGGCGCGATTATGTCTCTTGCTGAGTCAATTGTTTTGTAGAA